TGGTTGCTTTACATAACTCACAAATCCATCCATCTCTCTTTTACTTCGGAAAGCGAGAGACGATATTTATAATCGTGAAGTTACGAGGAAACATATAGATTATAGATAGTCCGAGAGATAAGGTACATCTCTCTCTTGGACATATCTTCCGAGAATTAGTTCGTATCAGTTTTTCGGAGAAAAACCATTCGTTCAATCTGAGATATCGGCGTTTCGTCGCCGCGCTCTATCCGCCGGGCTTTTCCCGCCGTGGCTCCGCCACTTTTTCGGACGACACGACGCGCGCAATAACGTGATTGCGCGATAATACGAAATGCAGTGGCGTCAAGACCTTACCCGCGACATCTCTCTCCTACACGGTGTTGCCACCTGTAGGATTTTTAGCAATAAAGAGTTTTGACAATGCTAACGGATTGCAGAACCTGACGGTGGGGAATATCGCGTGCACATTTGGAAAAATCCCGCGTGTGAAAACTTTCATTTATCAGTGATATATCACGTTCGTTTTCAAACGATTTGTAAATGCGTCAGATCTCAAAATAGAATTCTCTATCTAATCTTTATATAATTTCTGTACAATTTCACATGCCGCATGTTATATACTATTTTATTATGTATTAGGAGTATGTATATTTTAATTTTTCAGATATATCTTAAATTACATGAAATTATAAATAAAATTCCATCGTAAATTTTGACACGAATTGTAGATCGTCTACAGAGCAGGCGTAAAACAGTAGAACTAAAAGAGAAAAATTCAAAGATAGAAATTATTATTAAATGCGTCTGAATACTGATACTTTGTTGTTTTGATTCGTAGCAGAAAACATCGTCCTCTGATTTTGAAACAATAAAGTATAATTTTATCAATTCAAAATCAGAGAACGATATTTTAGAAACGGGGATTTTTTTTCGCGCGTTCGGAGTCTTTCTCTTTAAAGATATGGAAGCATCGATAATCTCGTGTACAAAATATATAAATTCGCATGATAATACACGGTAATTCACGATATTGATCGATGATTTCCAAAGTTTTGATAAATTATTTATTACTTTAAATTTTAAAGTTATCATTTTTTTCTTCCGATAAAAATAATAATATAAAAGTTGTAAAAATTTATGTTTAAATAACCGCTCTCTTCTATTGTCATTAAAAACTTTTACATTTCTAACACTTGATTAGCTTCGTAAGCTCCTACAATAACCGAATGCGACGCTGTGTACTTCGAAAATGCAGATAACCCGCGAATAACACGATTAATCGGTTCTGTGTTATTGAAAACGGGGCAATTCAAGACCCAGATCCATGTAAAATTGTGCATTTGGTTCTAAATCTGAGGGATCATTTTAAAGAATAGGGTTGTCACAATTTCTTATAGTGTTATTCGAGACTCCATGCAATTCAAGTGTACCCTATTACTCGAGTCACCCGTATATCACGAAATAAAAGAAACTCGTATGTCTCTATTGTGACAAGCCGATAGATTTCGATCGATATCTCGGATAAAAATAACGTTTCCACGAAAAGAGGTAGATATATTAAGCTGTATAAGCCAAATTATCAGAACACAAAAATTTTATATGGAATTAATTTGCTAATTATTTGCTTTTAAAAGTAACTTTTTAATAGCTGAAGCAAAAAAATTACTTTTAAAAGCATAAAATAGCAAATAATTTTGATATTATTAACTTTTTGCTTTGACTTATGTATGTTTTTTTACAATGGCTGGATAGCTTAATCTTAGGCTATCCAGCCCTTCGTAACTTTTTAATAGCTGGAGCAAAAAAGTTACTTTTAAAAGCAAAAAATAGCAAATAATTAGCAAATTAATTCCATATAAAATTTTTTGTGTTCCGATAATTTGGCTTAGATAGCTTAATATACCTCACGAAAAGGTGCATCTTTCAATTATTCCAATACGCCATTCGCCTCGTTTTCTCGTTTCTTTTACGTTAAAGTGCAATTACAATAGCGTATTGGCAATTTTTGAAGCGAAGAAATAAAATCTAGGATTACCGATTAAACAATCGACAGGTAGACAATGCAGTCTGATCGCACCGACGTTGATTAACGTTAATTCTAATGAATCCATTTTCTCTTCTTTGAAGGAAAGCAGCAAAGGGTATCGACGCGACCGCCGGTTAGGGCCTTGGTCCTAGCATAGAAAAACTTAAACCATAAGCGAATTGACCAATATCTCAAGTTTTCGAAAATTCTCGATCGTGATTGGTCAATTTGCTTACTTAAGTCCTTAGGGTAATATTTCATTCGTCGGACGACAAATTTTTCAAACGTATTGATTTGCCACAAGATAGAGAATTTCTGGAAACTCGAGAACTTCTCTATTTAGTAACCAATCAACGCGCTTAAAAAATTTGTAGCACGACATATGAAATATCAGCCTTAGGTACTGCTTAAATTTTTCCATGTGCCATGGCCCTTACCCTTTGCAGTCTGACGAGCATATCGCGTTTTGTTCACGGGCTCCCTTCGCCGCGCGGGCCATGAATCAGCGGACGCGCGGCTCTCGACGGGGAAAAAAGAGCGCGGGACTCGGGCCGCTCGCGGCGCTGCTTAAACAGCTGTTTAAGCGGCGCGCCGGAGGAGCGGAGAGCGTTGAACGGCGTAGTTACTCACGTACCAGAGTTTTGAGGTTAGGACCAGGCCGAACGACGGGCGCGCGGAGACGCGACGCGCGGACGGGCGCGATTCCTCGACGGCCTCCGGATTCTCGATTAACGCTCCACCTGCACAGTTTCTCCTCGTACATACATCTCGGAGCATCGTACGCGTAACACGCGCGTAAACAACGCGCTATGTACAAGCAACGCGACGCGACGCTCACGCGACAATCACGAGTGACACGCCGCTACCTTCCGATCGTTCGATCGACTTCGCGCGTCTCGAGCCCTAACCTCAAAAGCGAACTTCGCGCGGTAGAAGATTCGCGCGCGCGGAGCGAGCGAGAGAAAGAGAGAGAGAAAAACCGCGACAAGCACATACATACCTTCGATGCGATCCTCCTCACGCAGGCTGAAACGCGTCCCCCTTTGTCCGTCACGCTCGTGCGGCCTCTCCCGACGATCCACTCCGAAAAAACAAGCCGGCGACGCCGTGAATGATAGGCGAGGGGGACGGGTAAGACGGGTGGGGGTGCGGGACACACACACAACAGGCAGGTAGATCCGGTCGAAAGAGAGAGAGAGAGAGAAAACGAAGAACACTCGGCACACGCGTCGAGAAAGAAAAAAACTCTCTCGCACACTTTATCGGGCACACCGGACGACACAGATGTACGTGCGTGTATACATGCGGTTATACGTATAGACTTATGTATGGCGCATAAAACCCGCGCGCCGCACACCACCGTACGTTTCACTGGTTTTCAACAGTCGCGCACTTCACCGACGGAGCGACGATTGCGTAGGTGGGGAGGGAGCGACGGGGTAGACGGTGTGATGTTGGTGACAGCGGTAGTGGAAGGGGGGGAAGGGCGGAGAAGGGAGACGGAAATCTCTGGATGTTCGACGTTACGAAGGGGATACTTCCTCTTTCGCGCGCGAAACAGCGGAGAGAGGAGAGAGAGAGAGAGAGAGAGAGAGAAAGAGAGAAACGCCAGAAACCACCTTCGAGCTTATCGCCGAGCTGTCACCGCGAGCATAACGCGCGCGCACGCTTCCCTCGGCCAAACGCCCGAGCGGGTGTCGCGCACGCACGCACGCACGCAAACGCACACAAACAAACAAACAGGCACGCACGCACACAGCGCGAGCGCGGCGGGATCGTATCCTCGCTCCTCGTCGCGCCTTTCCCTTCGCGATCCGATCGCAATCGGGTCGCGGCCGTGAAACTTTACTGTGTATATCCGCCGGCGCGAATCTCTCTCGCCCCTCTCCCTTCTATGTCTTCCACGCGCGGGTAGCCGATCGGTCGCGACGATCGCGGCGTCGTGGCACGGCTGGGCGTAGCGGCGACGCGATATTAGCGTTGCTAACGACAGTAGTGGTGGTGGTGGTGGTGGTGGTTGACGGTTGGCGACGGTAGTGGTGGTGGTAAATTGCACAGTGGTGGTGGTCGATGATCGTCGATGACCGTGACTCACACGTGGACGCTCGCGCGCTTCCACCTTCCGGTGCCGAAATGTCTTCTGTCTCTTCTCCAGTCAGGACATCCGGCTTCTCGGGCCCGGAGAGATTCTCGCAATCGTCGATCCCCCGTTCCCTCCGTCAACGGCTCCTTCCTCTTCCCGCCGCTCCGTTAGAACGAGGCGGGTGACAGTTCCGTGCTCCGAAACAGGGACGCGAGCGAGCGAGCGCGCGCCACCCGCCGATCAGGTGACGAGGCGGTATATCGAATTTTATCAACCCCGGAGTCCCGCGTTCGAGGAGGCACAACCGTTTGTTTTCGTTCGTTCGTTCGTTCGCGCGCGCGCGCGCTCGCGAAAGAGAGAGAACGAGCAAAGTGTATGTGTATGTGTGGATCCTTTCAGGTTATGGTCATCGGCGTCAACCCGCGTGACGCCGCGCGGCCTCGCGGACTACTGACTGACTTACCGCTGGCCGTTCTCGCTCGTCCCGCCGTCGCGACGACTATCACGTGGTATTGTCGCGCGCGCGAGCGAGCGGGGCGGCGATGTCCTCTTCTCCCTTTCAGGGTTTTTCGCGACGCGCGGCCGGGGTGACCGGACCGGACCCCGCGGGACCGACGACGGACGCCTTAGGGACGCGCCCCGAACCTCCGCCGCTCCCGTCCTCGCGCTCGGCGATCACGAGGCGCCCGCGTACCGTCGACGCCGGCGCTGCTGCCGTCGCCAGACGGACGGACGGAGGGGCAGGGGGAGGGGATGGTGGTGGATACGCGGCGGAGAGCGCGGTGTGGACGTACTACCGGCTGACACCCCCGCGACAGCGCCGCAATGAACTCGCCCGGCACGAAGGGTCAAAAGCACCGCGGCAAAATAATAACAGAACGCAGCCGCCGACGCCGCTGTCGGCAACGACAGCGCGTGGTGAGCTGGGCGGCCGCCGCCGTTGTCGTTGTCGCCGCCGCCGTCGCCCCGTCGCCGTCACACGAGCGCGACGACCTTCCTGTCTCTATATCTCTACTTCCTCTGTCTCTCCACCACCGCCCGAGACCAGCCGTGACCGGCGGCGGCGTCGCGCCGGGACAACGCCGCGCTCGGCAGGACGGCACGACGACAATAACAACGTCGTCGTCGTCGTGCGGCACGGATAACGCGACGGCTGTCGCTCCTGCCGGTATTGCTGATATTGTTTTTGTTGTCGTCGTCGACGTCGTCGCTCGAGAAGATCCTTCGTCTCCCGTCGACGTTGCTGATATCGTTGTTTCCGTTGTTGCTATTGCTGTTGCTGCCGCTACTGTTGACGGTAGCGATGTTGGGGATGATTATGATGATGGTGGTGGTGGTGGTGGTGGTGGTGGTTGTTCGCGGCCGCGGGTTTTGGCGGGTTTCCACGGGCGACGAGCGCGCACACCACTGGCACACACCGCGGCCGCCGTGCATTCACCTCGTCCTCGCAGCACGCGCCGCCGCTGCTGTCGTCGCCGTCGCTACCGCCGACACGCACCGACGAGCGCTCCTCCTCGCCAGCTCGCGTCGCAGCCGTGATCGGCCTTCACTGGGTCCCCGGACGCGGAGGACGCCTCGCGGGAGCTGCACCGAATTGAGATCGTTGCCGCCGCTGCCCCTACTGCTGCTGTTGTTGCTGCTGCTGCTGTTACCGCGGCTGCTCCTGTGCCGCCACGCCACACCGAGACACACGAGACGAGGTTGCCCGACGCACCACTGGCTCGCGTACGCGCACGAACGGCCACCGATCGCGACGACGTCGAGCGGGCGCTCGAGCTCGCGGCTTGCACGACGGGTAACGCGCGACGTTCCCGCAGCACACACGAGAATCGTACAACGTCCTAACCGCGGGGACACCGCATCGCTTTCACGGGCGAACATGGAGCTGGATCCATGCCGAATGCTTGGCGAATCGGCCGCGGGGCGGCGCGCGCGGGCGCCAACCAACGTCGTGGCGGTAGGAGCGCGCGGGAGAGAGAAGGAAGGGGAGAGAAGAGAGAGATAGCGCTGGCGCGCGCGCGCGCGTACCGAAATTACGGCCTTCGGGGGCCGCCGCGCCGCCGTCGCGCCTGTCGCAGGTCTGCCAACGCGATATCGCGCCGCTTGACAACAGCGAATGCTCCAGATTCGCGTCAGATGGCGCCTCCGGCCGGCGATCTAGCGCGCCACTCGAGCCTCGCGTGGCGATCTTAAATATCAAAATAATACCGTTTCGTTCATTAAATTGGAATTAATTTTTTATTTAATTATCTCTCTTTGCTGTATAAACGAGATCCCGTTAGGTGTAACTTCGCCGTGAATGTAATAGGATCATCGTATTTAAGTAATTTGATAATGATGTTTGAAATTTAAAGCGAAACTGTTTGTCGTGAATTTTGAAATATTCTTTGATTTATCTAGAAAGAAATTCTTTGCTCTTCTCTGTAAAAAAAAAAAAAAAGAATTTTTTCTTTCTTTAATAAATTAGAGAAAGGCGCTGAAAAAGTGCTAAGGTGAAAAATTGTATATAAAATTCACACGAATAATATTATTAGGCTCGGCAGACCCAGTCCTGACTGAAAATACCGTTTTTTTTATCTGTATTTTAACTCTAAAAGTTTATTTAATTTTTTAAAAAACGACGAACCTTTTGCATCAATCTGATACTTGCTAGCTGAGACTTGCCAAAAATTAATTAAGTCCACATTGATAAAACTCAAAGTTTGAAAAAATGACATGTTTCTTATAAAGTACGTAAATCAACAATATATTGGGAAAAAAAAGAAGAAAATAAATATAGTTTCATAAATCCGTTCTGGATTTGGTTCTGCTGTGACGCTGCGACTGTGATGGTGATGATCGTAAATCCAAAATCAGGAAAATCAAAAGAAAGAGTCCTCTTCTCCTCCAATAACAGATCGAGATCGAAATTAAATCGATTAATTTGAATTCGTTCGATTGGAACAAAGTGAACGTTTCGTCATTCCATAACAACCGCGAATGAGGCCAATTACTGAATGCAAAATCGACATTCATGAAAAATGCAATTGTTTCGCTTTGCTGAAAGTGTATAATCGTGTCGTTCGATCATACGAAAAAAAAACGCGGCACAGGTTCAACGATCGAGGATTGCTCGGTTCTTAAATTCCCCGAGTTTCCGGTCGCCGGACGATCAGATTTCGAACGAGATGCTGCAGGCTGCAAAGTCGAGGAAAACGATAGCCGGGGAAGAAAGAGAGGGTTTCGTTGAAAAGCGGATGATTCGGAATGACTCACGAATCACGTTTCACAATCGCGGGAAATCGACTCGACGCATCAGCGACTTGACGCATCCTCCGCCAAGATTTCCGTCCGAGATCATTGAGCGATTTCGCGATGATGCACTCGTATCCGAGGCAAAACCAAGCAGAATTCGCGAGCAATCTGAACCGGACGTTCGTAAACTGATTGTGCACTAAATATATCGCAGTATATTGCTCGCTAGAGTAATTTGAATCAAACGGCCGTGGCAAAAGATTAAAAGAATGCAATTTGCGGCGCAATTATACATAACTTCTAAAAAGAAGCGCACCGCTAGGGATTTATGTCGAGTTTAAAAGAGGGCGATTATTTTTTTCAAAGCGCTGGGCACGTTTTTTTAAACGATCACCCCTCTAAATTGCGAAAATCAATTTTTATTTGTAAAATACACATACAAATCAATTAATAATTGCCTACATTTCTGTTTACGCGTTCACTTAAATCGACAATACTTTATGTACAGTTAATCAATTTAAACGGACCGTGAAATCTTTAATTAATGGCATGGATGAATATAAATACGTAAAATAACACTATATATATCATATGAAAATATCATTACATCGATCTTTTTATAAGAGAAACAATCGAAGTAGAATTATGTCAGTAATTATAATTTTACAAATATTACAGATTTATATTTGCTTTTCTGGGAACAAATTTTACTATAAATTTTTTAATAACAAATAAAAATAATACAAAAAATAACTTGCGTATGTGAGAAACTATTATTTTATATTACAGATATTGTTCATTGCAAAAATTCATAAACATCATTTACTACGAAGCATGATTACGAAGAATAATTTATAGTTTGAATTTTTATTTGGAAAATTTTTATTCAATTTTTTTAATAACTCATTGTTGTGACTTGAACAGTTATTTTAAAAAATCTATATTTCGATTGTATAATTACTTGATTAAAAAAAGAATATAACGTTAAACAATCGAAAACTTTATTAACAAATAGACTAATATTTGCATCGTTATAAGGTTCATAATTATTGCGATACCTAATAGCTTCCGTGATAAGGATGGTCCAATAGGATATGTTGTTCCTGTGAAAATTATAACACATGAAATGAAACAAAAAATAGCACGGATGTGTAAAAAAAACAAAAAGATTACAAAATGACGCACGAGACGTTCGTGAAAAGACGAAACTATACAAACTGCATAACGTGATGCAATACTTAAGCGGCATCGTGCAACCGGTGCAACGTTTGCAATCCGCTTGAGATTCGCTCGCAGCGTATTGTTTGATCTCTAAAGAAAATAATAATAATAAGATACGCAATTTAAAAATAAATTTATGGCCAGTTATATATATTTCTAGCTCCATATCAGGTGCCGCGTAGAGTTTCCATAATTACGGAATATTATATATATGTATTGAATTATTAATATATTGAAACCTAAATAACAATATTTTTTCAAGAAATTATCTTTAGGATGAAAAACAGTATTAGTGTACAGTTATTCCACAGTTTCTATAATATACATTTAAATTCGTAACTTTTATTATTTTCGTTTGAGATTTTTACATTACATTTTGTTTTAAATTCGTGACATCTTTTAATATAATTTAATAACATCTTCATTACATATATGTTTTCTCAATAAGATTGTATTTTGTTACATTGAAATTGTTAAAGTATCATATAGTATACACAGTAAAAATGACACAAACAAAATGTCAAAAGTGTTTATCATACCTATATAACATCAATTTGATTGTAACTTAAAAAAAAAAAGTTAATATGTTTTTGCGGACACTAATCTTCATTTCAGCGCGGTATGCACAAATTAATTCTTTGAAACACACTTATGCAAAGATACTTGAGCATATCATTATGCCCTATAGCTTTTTTTCACTTTGTTTCACTATAAATTCATTGAACGTTTATCCTGAAAATTGTATTCTCTTCACTTTTTATCATTTAACATCGAATAATTTCGTGCATGTGTATCATCCAAATCAGTATCATTTATTGATTGATCGTTTATATTATTTAAAATAGTGTTTGCCGCCTTCTATATATATGTATACATATATATACATATATATAATGAAGTTATTCATATGATGTTGAAATATTTCATATATGCAATGAATAGTTTTAAAATTTGCCCCGAAAGTTTCCGCGACTCCGATACGGTTTTCCTCCTACAAGCTTATGGCTTTTGCCCTTTAAGATTTTTCCTTTTCCGTGCCAATCAGATCCCCTTTGGAATGTATGGCCAGTCATTTCATCGTCGGATTCTTCTAATTCCATCGGGCTTTCTCCACGACTATGATTGCTTCTTCTGTCATGAAATTCGTCGCGCTCCACAGACCGTCTATGATACTCTGGCGAATATCTGTCATGACTATAGTGATCACGCATATCAGAGTGAGAAGAAAAATCATCTCTACTTCTAACAGGAGACTCCAGCCTCAAGCTTCTAGATTCATGTTCTATGGAATCTAAATGATGCTCTTGTTCATCGGATCTTCTAGGAGGAGACGCTTGCCTGTTCCAAGTACGTCTCTGCAAAGAGTTATTTAGACTCCATCTCAGATCCTCTTCTCCGCGATACTTGGATGCATATTCATATGTATCCCGCGCGCTCCAATCTAGACGATCCATTATCGGCCGTTTTTCTTCTTTTACCGGTTGGAGATCGTGTTCATCGACCTGTGATCCAAAGTCGGCCGTGGTGACGTATACTTGCACACCCTTGCTTTCCGTTTCCACTTCATCTGTCTGACAGATCTTCTGATGCATTTGAGTTATTGCTTTCGGAATCGGTACCGGCTGTTCCACGTTGCTCTCTTCCCAGAATATCTTGGTTTTGCTTTTCTGCAGAAGTATCGAATTCGACGTATGGTCTTCGGAAACGTCTTTCGTTTCTTTTTCTTCGTTGCGATCGTAGAAAAATCTACCCTTCATCTTTAAACGCGGATCCTCCATTGGAAGTTGAAATAGCGCTTGTTCGCAATGTCGCATTATTTCAGGCTTGAATCCTATCAGTAGAAAAAATAGAATCTCGTAGAATAAAATTCTGAATTTTACATACATATATATGTCGTAATGCTTATACAAATGTCATGCTTCTTGCAATCTTCACGCACGTTGTAAATCGTGTAAAAGGTAAGTGTCTTTAAACAAAAGTCCACTTTAGATGCATATCTCTAATGTCACACAACTCATGTAGTGTGATTAATAAGCAGTTTAAATAGAATTACAAAATTTAAAAGTTCTTACCTGGATATAGTACCGGTATATTAGATGAATCTAACGTGATAAAAAAGAAAATATGAAAAATTAGTATGGTTCAATTAAATAAGATACATAGGAAATATTTGTATCCTTGTGGTGAACAAAAAAGCGTGAACTATATAAGTTCTGTATGAATCTTTACGATCACATAACAAATTAAAACATACTCGCACCTTTAGCTGAAACAGATGCTTCCAATAGACTGGATAAGCTGGTTTTTTGCTGCAAGATCAAGTCATAAAAATTATATTAATTTTTTTTCTACAAATAAAATACATGATTGAAAAAAATACAATACTTCGTACAACAAATTAAAATAAATTAATATTCGACCTAGCAATAAACACTCCTGGTCGAATTTAAAACAAAACTATATACTCATCACTATCATATGTATTGCAATTACTTTTCGTTTGGAGATGATCGGCGGTTCGGGTGTCTTTATTCGTTCCTGGGGCGGAGAGTAAGCTTCGTTGTACGATGACGATGCCGCCGGTCCATGTTCTGTATAGCTCTGTGACGTAGAAGGTGTGGCTGAGCGATTCAAAGGTTTGTTTGGAGGTTCAAATTGATGAACCGGTGTTTGTTGGATAAAGGGTACAGTATACGATGGATTGTACGACATATGCGTATGATCCATCATCGGAGGGGGTACAGGTTGCGGCGAGGGTATCGGCATAGGAAGCAATGGTGAGCACATCACCGATTGCGGAGGTGCTTGCGGCACAGCAGCGGCATTCGGCTGATTGTACATGACCGGACCGGATGAATAATTGGCTGGAGGCAGATTTGGGGTCAGGGATGTCGGCGGCATAGGTTCGAAATTCATTGGCGATGCTGTAGCCGGCATAGATTCGAAATTCATAAACGATCCGGTTAGCATAGGTGGTAGCATAGATGACGATGGCGGACCCGGTTGATGTGTGTACGGGGGTGCTACAGACGGTGGTGGTGGTGGCGGCTGTGCTGGTGGCGGGTGCGCTGGTGGCTGTGGCCTGGATTCCGCTTCTTGTTTATATGTAGGCGGGTTGAGTAACGGTGCGATTCCTTCCATCGTCGCGGACGGCACGTATCCACTTGTGTTCGCGCCGGTCGACATGGCTTCGTTTCGCAGTTGTCTTGCCAATTCGTTGATGAAGGGTGAACGCTTCCTGACGCGCTTCTCCAATGATCTGCTACGTGTGCGACTTCGGCGACGGGGGCTGTATCGTCTGCTCACTGGCGAACGACTCGCTCGTCTGCCCGTTGGTGAACGGCTCGATCGTTTTCTCGGACGTTCCGTGCTGCGACTCCTTCGATCACGAGATCGGCTTCTCCGGCTTAATCAAGATAATCAGATATAATCTAAGATATAATCTAGTACATTTTTATATCGTATATATATTTGTACAATACAATAATATATAAAATTACAATGTAAAATTTAAAAGTTTGAAAAATTATATCTATCACAAACAACTACTTACAATATTTGTTCACAAAATGATATTTGTGACTACTATACACGCAGTGTAAAAAGATAATTTTTAACTAGATGACATTGAGTTTTTTTTTTTTTAATCTCTTTCTTGAACGAGAAAGAGTTTAAAGCATTAAAAAATCTCTTAACAAAGACGTTAAGAATATTGTCTCCTCACCGTTCATGCGTCCAATCAGCGCGTCTTCTACGGAGTCGCTCAGGACTCCATCTTCTATCTACGCTGGACCGCCGTTCTCCACTAAGTCGCCTAGGGCTTCTTCGTCGATCTGGACTTAATATAGGAGTTCTCCGGTCGTAGGATCGTGGTGAATTTTTCCGTCTGCCTGGACTATATCTAGGACTTCTGTGTCTTTCTTCTGTTTTTATAATAGGGGTTCTACGGCGATCTGGGCTTACAAAAGGACTTTTTCGTCGATGAGGACTCAGCCGAGATCGATCGGGAGTTCTGCGCCGTGGCGAAGATTTACCATAACGTTGCAACGATTTGCTCCTGCGATGCTCTCTGCTTCGTTGTGCTTCACGCTGCGCTCGTTCTCTGTTCTGTTCCTCCGCAATGCTCTGAATGGCTTCAGTTTCCGTCCCAGGCGGGACTACATTGTCCGAGTCCAACAAGTACTTGATCGCCTTCTCCTTTTCAGCAAGAAGCTTGTTCTCGGTGTCTCTCTTCGTTCGCATTTTGTCCCTTTCGATGTCCTTGGTGCTCTTCAAAGGATCCCGACGAATCTCTTCGCGTTTCTTCTCTTCTTTCTTCGGCTTTTTACGTTTGTGAGGTCCTTTAGGCTCGGGACGATGGTGCTCCCTATAATTATCTTGTCATCATTCGTTTGCCAGAGGATGCACACTTCCATAGTATTAAATATAACAGATTGTATACGTATATCATACAGATAGCGTACATGTAGAGAATGGAAATTATGTGACAACGTGGCATTGTAACTTATAACTAAATCACTAAAATTAGAACATAATACATTTGTATACAATATAAATTAATGTAATTAACTAAAACTCAAGAAAAGTCGTAGTGCCATAATTAGTTTCCCTACAATGATTGCACTTAGTAAGTAAGAGCAATACAACGGCTTTATTTTTAATATTAAGTATAGTGACAATATAATGTTATATAAAAATCATTTACAATAATGAAACTACCTAGAGAGTTGGTTCTCTCCTTGCTTCTTAGACCCTGTCATGTCTTGCTCGTTCTCGCGGTTTTTGTCTTCATCTCCTTCCCATGCGTCCACAACGTCCAGTCCTTCCAGCATAAAGTCTTCATCGTCGAGGAACTCCTTCAGTTCCTTCAGTTCCTCCTTCAGTTCTTCATCCGGTATCTCCTTGAGACCCTTGATCGCACGTTGCACATGATCATCACTTTTCAACAAAGGCTCCTCGCTTATCTGGTGAAATTTCTTCACGAATATCTTGCCAGTAGTCTTCGTCGCTTGCCCTTCCGTTTCTTTTACTTCTTTCATTTGATCATTGTCTTTGTCGCTTGCGTTGTCCATGTTGCTCACCAATTCGCGATTACCTCAGTATTCTGAAGTAATCAAGAAAATATCTTTGAGCTCTAAGTAAATTAATTATGCTTCTCGTATCTATATTGCTATTGCAACTTGTGCTTAATAAATCCCACAAAAAATATACATGCTTTTACATATGAAACAAACGTTTTTGTACATAAAACGATTGAATGATTTAAATAACCAACTTAAGGCATTGTGCAGTTTCAGTTATTGTTGCTATTTCAATTCATTGTTGTAATCCGTACAGCCGTGCAATACTGTCGTACTCGACAAGCTCTACATTTCATCGATGCTTTAAGTCTGTGTATGTTAAGTTTTATCTTCAGCACGTTTATCGAGATTCAACATGGCACTGCAAACTTCCTAAGCGTTTAGAAATATCTTAACTCAGGGCGGCGTGTAAATTTTTTACAGATTTTAATCTCAGAGAACACTGATAAGCATACTTATTATTGACAAGCACAGTGCTCAGACACGCGTGACATGTGGAGTACGGCGATCGGGTTCGATCGAGAAACGAAATAAACGACCTTCCGCCGAGCTTGTGTGCTAGTTCGACTAACAGGTAAGGTCGAAACGTGAGGGTTTCCGCTTTACTTCCCCGAATGGCCCGAATGTTGCGAGGACCGTCGTGAGGAAAGGGTGCCTGACGCAGGCTGCCTCACGTAAACTCCGGAAACTGTGGTAGCCCCACGATCGTTGCGAGGAACGATAAATAACGATGCAAATCCGCAGGATTCCGAGCGAGTACGACACCCGAATGGGAAACACCTGTGCCCGCTCGACGACGAGTTTTCTCACCCTCTAACTCGCCATGTTGCTCACCGAGCACCGAAACTAACCTAATCCCCGGATCAAAAGTGCACGAGTGCACTTGCGGCCGTACACGCTTTATTTTCGTCGTATATACAAAGATTTTCGCGACTTTGTATTCGCCGTATCGTTTCTCTCGTAACAAACCATGAACGTGCGAATAGATTTCAGGTTAATGCAATGAATAAAAACGTAATAAACGTCCCGGTGAACGTTTTTGTTAACAAAATTGTACCAAACTGCACTTTCAACAATCTCTTAACAATCGTTTAATGTTTAACAATCTTGCCTCTATTTGTTATATTCGCCGAACTCGACCGAAAGTGTTTTCTTTTTTACATAATTGCATAGGCCTGTTCTCTTTGCGGCTGTGCTCGCTGTGCTCCTGTGCTACATATGCTACACAGCTACACTTTCGGCACTCGGAATGAGAAAGGTGCGGGCGGGTATGAAGCATTTAGAGAGAAAAGGAGAAAAATTCTTTAGAGAAAAAAGGAGAAAGAAAAAGCGCACATATACATACATAAAAGGTTCGAAAAGATATACCTGTTCTTTGCAGCTGAACTTTTTGTACTTTCAATCCTTCTAATTGTTCTCAATGCGTGATTTTACATGCATCTCGTTTTGAGTACAGAAAGTTTAACATATAGACAATTGTTCTACATAACTGATATTAATTTATTCTCTATGCTTATAGAATATGCAACATAATATGTATAATTTTTCATAAGAATGAAAATGGAATGCAGTTATTAGTGTTTCAAGAAAGGCTGGAAATTCAAAATTTTTAAACATTCCGCGGTTTAGTACCGAGAGATCCACGTCTTTTTTATTTCTCGACACAAATATAGGAAAAGAAATTGATACAAATATTATGCTCGTAAAAACTTGTATTTATTCCATATACGGTTATACTTACTGTAAGAGACTACAGTTCTTAGGTATAATATATGTGTAATAAATTCAATAAATAATACAGAATATAGTAGCGTGTAATATTGAAAAACGTGACGTAGAAGCTAATTCTCGATCTTGACTTATGTTTTCTGAAGACACTCTGAATTTAAGGTGCCAATTCATGGGACGCTGAAAAACAGCGTTGAGCGACGTCACGTGACATCACTATGATGCCAGCGTCAAGCAAGAAAGAGAAGTTGGATTTTTCCAACTTCAAGCGTCAAAGCCAAAGCAGCGCGAAGACGCCGAAATTTTGACGCTGTTTTCCTTTTCATGAATTTCAATTGACGCCGGCGTCAATTGTGGTCATGCGACCTTCTTGCCGCTGAAAATGAGCGTCGAGCGTCAGCATGAAAAGGCACCTTTACTCTGAATTTATACATATGTTCTGAATTATTAGAATTAATCTAATCGCAAGATTGGAATACGATTGGAATTTATCACACAGTATTAACCCTTCGTCTGTATACGTGGATCTATGGCATTCGAGTCAAAATAATATCTGCTCTGTCAAAATAATAAAATTGTAAAACTTGCAAGCCTGCCAGAAAAGATTAAATAAACGATGATTATCAAAATAATTAAAAAAAAATCGTCGATTACAATGTAGACAGATTTTGTGAATTTTTTCATATTTTTCTAAACTTTAAGGAAAAATAGCGTCAAACGTGACAGGCTTACGTATACACTCCAACGGTGCAAAAAAAAAACGTATACAGACGGAGACTTAACCTTTGTTGTGCACACTTCTTCAAAATTACATATTGTGCACAGGGGGTCTATCAGACGTACAATTCGTTCTTTTGACTCAAACAAAATTGCTGGCTACTGTTCAAAGCTTCCAAAATAAGGTCTAATAGGTTTCATTAATATTTTGCAACATAAAAGAATTATAAATGATATGTTAACTAAAAAAACCAAAAAATGGACTTTTTACTTAAAAATGCATAAAAAATTCAATTTTTAATATTTTTTAATAATTTTTGCGGGATTACTTTCTTGAAATACTACACTTTCAAGGAAAAATATTAGTTTATAGCGGAGTTGAAAAAAGTATATTTATATTGCTATGAAATCACACGTTTTTCAACTTCTCACCACTGCCAAGAGCAGACTAAAGCCGGGCAGGCAAAACTATGTATAGGATCTTGAAGTGTTATCCCTAAACTACAGGTAAATGGCAGCACAGGTCCCGATCCGCATTGTACGTATTAGAAAAACGCGTTTGAAAATACGCTGGGGCCTAAAAGACCCAGTGTGCACAACAAAGGTTAATGTAACATTAACGAGATATTATGCGGAATAAAACGCTAACTTTTGGTCCATGCCGGAAAGCATACGATGTACATTTTCAGCATCGTCATTACCGTTGGTGGTTTAGCTGCTGATAGTATAGCTGATCATAGGTCTTTTTGAACTGCAGCATGTGTAGCAACGTTTTGTTTATTATTTTTGGTATCCAGCTATTTACGAAGCACTCGAATTCTCGAAAGATGTGATTTTGACTGTTCTCGTCGTTCAGCACTATGACCACCGCTACAGGATTGTCCGCCTTTTCTAACGTACACATAAAATCTAGCCTTACGTTGTTTGCCTTGTCATGCTCGGTCAATTGCTCCACCACCTTGTCCGACATGATCGCCTCTTTCTCCAGAAGACTCATTTGAACATCCAAAAGGGTCCTATTATTTTTCTTTCTATTATACCACACACATTTGTGTCCCGTGCAGTAAAACGTTACTTTTTGATGATTTCTGGTATGTACGTCGGATAATATATCAATTTTCTGCTGCTTCGTTTCTTGATCGAGCAGCATCTCGACTTTCAATTTAAAGATCATTTCAAAGATATCCCTTATTAGATTAAAAGTGACGAAATACCAATTATCTTTCTTGTACTGCTCCTTATCAGTAATATCCGTACGTGTCTCGAAATCTTCCGGTAATCCAGCAAAGATGAAACGACCAGCCCGTATTTCATTTCTGAACCTCTTCTTTTTTTTCTTCGCCTGCATCAATTGAGGAGGTATCGCGCTGAATAACATGGTCAATAAATAATCGTAATTATTTGCACTAGCTGTCAAGCAGATATCGGCGCTGAACTTGCAACAAAGTTGAAATGCCATTAATGCACGATCTGACGTATTTGCGGCTGTGTTCTGATTAAGTTCGATCGGATCCTGCAGGCATACTGGCTTTTGAATATCTAATTTCTTGGCACTATTATCCGTGACGAAACTTTTATATCTATACATGTAATCGGGTAACTTATCTAATTGCGCGAAGTCAGCTGTTGAATATACTTTTCCGTCCAGTAAACATATTACACGCGAATTGAAATTGAAATTTTCGTAAAAGGAGAAGAAATTGTGAAGTAGTACTGCAATATTACTGCTGTTGGTAATGGCAGGTAATACGGTATCTTCGTTAAAATTTACTTGCCACCCATTCATGGTTTCTGGAGCACAAGTTCTCTGAAGGTCTAGCAACGGCGGAAGAAGACCAACTGATTCCTGCTGGAGGTAAAATATAATCAGACACACCAAGCCATAACTGGAAATTCTTCCGCTACCCGAAATCTTGAAATGCCTCGCCCAGTATTTGATGAGCAGCATCAGCGGTCTTAATCGTGGATCGCGTGACGCGCAATATCTTAAGAAGTTACTTTTATAGATGCCTAGGCCGTTCTTGAAGGAAATGTCGCAGGAGACATTGGTCGGCATATAACGGAACTTTATAATAGGTGTTTTCGCTTTAGGGATTGATACTATGTTGGAAAATATAGACTTCATGCTGTACATAACTTTTCTTACTCTCTTGAAAATCATTGGCGTCCATATATGTGACGGAGTATCTGGCCTGTTACAGATCCATGGTACACCTTGAACAGAGAAGTTACTTAAACATACAACGATATTCACATACTATAGTAAAATTAGAAAATCTCTTACCAATTTGACCGACGTACATGTAGATATCTAAATCACTCTCTTTAAAACTCAACTGCGCCACCGTTGAGCCAAATTTATACGTTTTACATTGTGGGAACATCGATCTGAATATTTCATCCAGATGAGTACAAATGACATTATATCTCGTTGCCAATTCAAATTCAGTAAGTTGCACTGCATTTAAAAGTGCTGCCATTTGGTTGTCAAATGTCACTACATTTTCGAAAACATTTTTTATTCGGTCGTAACTTATTGGATCCTCTTCTTCTAAATTTTTATTCTCAGTTCCTTTCGGAACAGTGTCTTTTTGTTGTTGCGCTATGAAACAATAAATGAATGTATTCATCAGCTCCACAGAAAAATAGTGGGAGATAGTAATTATAACATATTGCTAAAGCTAAGATAACTGATATTTACCTTTGTCAACGCCGAAATTTTCTCCATTTTTCTTCAGTCTTCTCAAACATATTTTTTCATTTGCTAGCCAGTGTGACCTGCTCATTAAAATATCAACAAGTTTGCTGCAACAACAAACCATAGATACAATATTTATAAAGTAATACAAAGGAAAAGATAAAAAAATTTTCACCAAGGAAGAAAATAAAAATGGTGATTCCTATATGTATAATTTAAAAACTTAATTATTCTATGACCATCTTTCTTTCTATCCGAAAATGTAGAACAATATACTTGTATGAACTAGACAGGTAAAATTTATTCCTATATGTTCTGTCGTAAATGTTTATTATAAATTACCTATCATTGTATTCAATCCAAATGGAGTTCCGTCTTTTAAAAAGCTGCTGTCTTTTAACTGTTCCAAATTGACGAAGATAATTTACCAACTCCTCTACCGACACATTTTTTGGTAAAGGCGCAACACAAACTGACTTTCCTGGCAAATAATGCTGATTTCCTTCATATGAGCTCTGTTCTGATCTTGCGTCTTGGTGCTGATGGTTCGAGCTTGTAGCAATTTGTTTGTTTGTGTGTTGGACAGATTCAGCTGACTTAGAGTTCATGGTTCAAAATTGTTCAAGCAATCGTAATTTATTATTCTAACTTAATTATATTTCTGTTTCGCTTGCAATTTCTCTTGGAAGTATTATTATATAACGATACGCTATATAAAAATAGAAAGATTAAAAAAGATCACTATTTAACTAAAATTCAATAATTGACCATCTCTAGTGATCACTTTCAGAAAATATTTTGTTTCGATCAATCCTTTTGAATTTCCAGCACAGAGAACAACATCATTTTCAGATTCGAGAAATATTAAGCCATCTTCCTTTGCTCTTCCAAAATTGATGTAAATAAAAAGTTCGGCGCTTTGACGTAAACCGTTGATAAAATTTAATCCCTTCGCAAAGTGAATGTGATTTCTTTTCATACGTGATAGACCTTCAGTTTTTATCTTTGACCAGTACTTAAAATAGGTCCCGTGAATTATATCAAAGTCCACGCAGTCAAGTATCTTCAAGCTCAGTTCATTGATCTTGAATATAGAGTGGCCTTGATTTGCCTTAATCTCTAAAACACCGTCAATTGTTTCAAGGGTAAATCTTTGCTTGTTATTTTCCTTTACTACTCTCTTGATGTCATCAATAGTATACTTATACAATGATTTATTCAACAGTTCGTTAACTGTGACAAAGCCGTTTGGTTTAATATTTAAGCCTTCCTTTATAGCTCCATGACGTAGCAGATATGATAATCTTTTGCTGAGAGCAATGTCGCTTTTACTCTGACTCTAAAAACAATATAATAACAAGTTGTTATATTGTATAAAATAACATTTGTTATATAGAGATCTATAATTATACAATCAAATTAAGTAGATTATTAAAGTGTTTCTCAAAAAAATACGAATGCCAGTTCTTCAACTTTTTGTTAGAAATTGACATATTTTTTTTTTACAAAATCTAACAAAATATTTACTGCTGTTATTACTATACTAGAAAATATGTTAATAATTTTAATGCCAAATCACTTAAAAGCATATCTTCAATTGTTCTGTTCTTTCAATAGCAATCACATTACACCTAATTTTATTAGTAGGTTTTTACTAATAATTTGCTGTAATTTTTACCACGATCTTACTTACGAGCAAAAATAAAGTGTTTAACTACCTTTAACCAGAGCACATACGTTAAATTTTAAAATACAAAACTTATAATTATGAAAATAGAAAACAGGGAGGAAAAATATGCAAAAGTATCCAAATAATGTGTCATGTCATAACGATTATCAACCTGACTAGACTTATAGAATGTTTATTTCCTTTAAGCAAGAATCTAACTATTAGAAAGTTCTTCTAGTGGCACGTAAATGATCGTTTATATAAATAAATAAACAAAACGACATGTACGTGTTTCAGACAGGAGAAGCACTGAAAGCAAACTATACATGCCCGCACAGAAAGGTGCACCCTATTAAACACATTCGACAGATGTCTTTATATGCAACAATCTTACATTACCACGACGTTAATAAGAAGCCATAATTTGGGACAAAAAATGCACAGACTTCTTTTCTTGTAAATAAATTACAAACACAATTGTCTAACCTCTGAAAACATGAAACTAGCGTAGCTCGCAACTTTCCCTCGAACCAATCGGTCTTCTTTACGTTAATTTGAAGGCATACGTCTCGACATTTAAATTTCTTAACAAGTCACAAATTTACGGAATTCTAATTGATATTATGACGACAATAATCGCATAATACCTACCATTAGCCGCGGAATAAATCGTGTCTACGCTAAAGGCCATCGCATTGCACACAAAATTGCATAGGCTGCATAAGCATAGCATAAGACCGCTGGACCAATGAGCATCTTATGTAAATCAATATGGCGACTTTATGCTGGATGCTCATTGGTGTAGCGATCTTAAATCCACCGATAAACCAATGAAAGAAATTTTGTTTCAATTCCGTTCCGCTATTTCTTTTTCCATGGAGACACACCCTTAAGACCGGTTCTACATTGGTCGTATTGTAGATAGTCGATTATTCTCCTCACATTCGCTTGTAATTGGTCAATTTCTTTCGGCTTGAGG